AAGAAAAGAAAATTCGTAATCGTCAATTTTTCTTTTTTTTTTTTTTTTTTTTTTTTTTAGGGTTTTGGAAAATTAATTTTTTTTCTGGTATTTACGGTATTATTTGTTTAAATAATAATAATAATAATAATAATAATAATTTTTTGCAACGAGTGGGTTTAATGTTAACAATATATATATTTTTTACAACAAAAGCAAAGTTTTCAATAATAATAATAATAATTAAATTTTTTTTTTTTTTGTTATTTAATCTGTTACGTTTTTGAATAATTTAAAATGAAAATTTAAATAAAAAAAAAAAAAAAAACGAAAGAAAATGGGGGATGAGATGGAGTGGGGGGGGGGTAAAGCGAATAGTTTACGTGAATTTTTTTTTACATGCAACGTTTTAATTTAGGTTTTAAAAAAAAAAGTATTTTTCTTTAGTTAGTTATTTTTTTTTTTTGTTTTTGTATGAAAAATTTTCATGTCGGATTTTTTTTTTTTATAAAAAAAAAAAATTTATATAAATTTTTCAGGGGAGGCCTTGGTTGAAAACAATTAAATCCATATCTAAAAAAAATCCTACGGAATCACACACACACACATAAGACTGAAGAAAGAGAAAAATTATTATAATAAATCCTACAAGTTTACAATTTATTAATTTTTATTTTTATTTATTAATATTATTAATTTCGGATATAAATGTTTAAAAAAATTAATTTTACATTGAATATATACATATATACATAGTCATAATTTTATTTTTTATTTTTATTTTTAATAACTGTGAATTTTTTTTAAAATTTTTTTTATTTTTAAATAATTAACTGAATGCAAAAAAAAAAAAAAAAAAAAAAAAGACAAAATTTTTTTTTTTTTTTCTCTCTCTTAAGAGTGTATTTATAGACTTTTTTTAAAAATTGTAAAAATTCATTTATATTTAAATTACAATTTTTATTTTTAAAATATTAATTAATTAATAAATGTGTTTTTTTTTTTTTTAAATAATTGGTAAGTTAACATAAATGTGAAATATTTCAAAAAAATAAATTTTGATAAACATTTTATTATTATTATTATTATTATTATCATTGTGCGTAAATAATTGTTTAAAAAAATTCGTTTTTTTTTATCGGAAAATAATTTTCGAAGGAAAAATTATTTTATTAAACGGAAAATGATAATATTTATTCGAATAGAATTAAAATGAAGTGGCGGGAAAATTAAAACAAAATGGCGGAAATGTTTGTTGGATTTATTGTCGTGTCAAGTCACGTGATGTTAACGGTCGACTTCAATTTTTTTTACATACGGTTTTGATTTCTTTCTTTTTTACTTTATATTTTATTATATAATTAACTTTATAAATAAATAAGTTAAGAATATATATATTGTTTTTAATATATTTTTTTAGTTTAAAATTTAAGTGGAGTGAATATATAATAAGTTTGAATAAATTTTCAACAATGGCGGCGGTGACGTAATATTTCATGTATTTATATTTTAAATATTGATTTTTACTTTTTTTTTTTTTACCCGTCGGGTATATAAATTGTTTATGATGTAATAATTATTGTAATTGTATATATTGTAATTAAATTAATGTTAACCATTTAAAAATTATTCCCGAAAAAAAAAGAAAATTCTGCAGGTTTTTTTCTCAATGTTTTCAAATATTTGACGGGTTTTTACGTGTAAAAGAAAAGTTTTTGCCCTGAAATTTTTTTTTGAAAATAATCTAAATATACAAGGAGAAGAAATATTAATTCAAGGCCCGCTTTTTAAATTTAAAAAAAAAATATTTTTTAAGTTATTTGACTTTCACAACCGCGCATTACATTTTCGTTAAGGTATTTGGAAAGGAAGTAAATGTAAAAAAAAAAAAGAAATGTTTTGTAAAGAATAATAATACTTATTAACCATAAAATTAGCGCAATAAAAAATATTTTAATGAAAATAACTGCATATATATAACAGGCAAATTATTTATTTATTCAGTACACTGTTCATTTAATAATTACACGTCAACGTTAAACTTGATTTAAATTTTTATTTATTTATTTATTTATGTATTGGAATTCTGTGATTTGATGCATAATTGGGCAAATCTTTTTTTTAAAACTTGGCGAAGTTGCGATCTTTTCTCATCCACCAACGGCATTTTCGCTTTAAATGCTTGTATTTCTTCTGGAGATATATAACATTCATCTTCGCTTGTCAAAGATGATGCTTTAAGCATTTCCTCGAGCATGAGAGAAAAATGACCCTTTCCATGGCAAACTTTTTCATCTTTGTAATTCTCGATATTTTTATATGAGTAGCATTCACCTAAAACATTTTTCAAAATAATAAAAAAAAATTCGAAACATTTTAAATTAAAGGTAGATTTAAAATTGTTGTACCTTCGTGATCGCAAAAACCTTCCGAACAAGCAACTTCTGATCCCTCGGGCGAACTATTTAAACTGGAGGAAGCTGATGGAGTGTAACAATTGTTATTATATTCCGATGAATAACCACAGTCTTGAGAATTATCGTTATTACGAATATGCAATTTTTCCGCCTTTTTTTTTCGTTTTTCAAGTGATTCTTGAGCTGAATGACATGATTGACAATGATTTAAAGAACTGTCATTTTCGATAAAATTTGAATCACCATTATTATTTTCCGCCATTTTCATTTTATCCTTTTTACTAAGTTTATTTTTTTTTTTTGAGCAGTTGGCATCATCATCATCATCATCATCATCATCATCTTTTTGCATTTTTTTCCTTCCTTTTTTAGATTTTTTTTGATTTGATGATAAACTATTATTTGTTTTTTCATTATTATTATTATTATTATTTTGGGTTCTGGTACTTTCTATTACAATCTTCACAAGAACATTTTAAATGCCCTTTTATTCTTAGGATCTAAAATTTGAAGCTTTACTAAAAGTTAGTATATATAGTTCTTTGATAATAAAATAATATATAAAATGATAAAAAAATTTTTCAATCAATTTACCTTTTGCCGATCACTATTAATTGTTGTCTTTACTTTTAAACATTCACAAGAATTTTCTTTTGACAAACAGTCTTCTAATTCCGACTTAAAAAAACCAAAACATTTTAATTAAACATAAAATTTGAAAATTTTTTAAAAATTATTTTAAAAAAAAAAAAAATGTACCTCATCATTCACGTATTTTTCTTCAGCATCCAATTCATTTCTTTTTTCTTTCTTTCTTTTTTTTTTAAGCTTTTTAATTTCTTTTTTTTGCTGTTTAGCAATTTCCGCTTTTGTTATTTCCTCACAAAGAAGTTCTAATTGAGTGATTCCTCTTTTTTTTTCAACTGCTTTCTCGAAATTTCTACATAAAGCTTCGACGGCGACCGCAGCCAAAACTTTACATGTGAATTCTTCCTCTTGAAGTCTTACGTAAATTCGTCGTAAACGATCGTATATGCAAATTCCTATACAAGTAAGAACCTCTTCTTGAGCTATTTCCATAGTTTTTGCGTGACGTTCTCTACGACTGATGACATCAAAAAGAATTATAATATAATTAATTTATAGTAATTCAACCACGCCTTAGTAATATTTACAAGTTTGTCGTTTTAATAACTTACTTTCCTAATAATTCAGGTTCGGCTCTTGCGACAAGACTATCAATATATTTAGTTTCATTTGGTAAATGAATATGTTTTCCAGGAAGACACCTTTTTATTTTTTGATATAAAGATGGTATAAATCCTTTTTCTTTAGTAGGATCACAATCGGCAACTAGAAGATTATAAGCTTTCATTACCTTGGTGCGACAGTCAGAGCAAAACCTTTAATAAATAAAAATATTTAAATTAAAAAACTTTAATATATACAAAAAAACATATAACAGTTCATTTTTTAAAACTACCTATGTTTTTTCAGATAGTTTTCCAATTTAGAGAGTAAAGTGCTAAAATCAATAAGGAGAACTTCAGCTTTGCATTTTTCATGCATAACTGCCCAAACATCTTTTAGAGCTGGAGTTACAGGGCGAGATTTGTATAAATCCCAAGAATGTAAAACACAACGTCTACTTTTTTTTAATCGTGGTTGATTATCTATTAAATTACTAAGCCTTGCACTGTGATCAGTAAATATTGAACATAAGACTCTAGGAGAATTAATTATTTCTTCTTTCATAATTAATGTTCCATCTGATTTAACTTGTAAAGGATCTAAAGCCAATTGACCTATTCCCATTAACTGATAATATAATCTTTCAACCCTAAAACAATAATAAGTGAAAATTATAAATTGCTATAATGAAATTATAATTAAAATGAAGAGATTTTTTATAGGGGTATTTAATTAAGAATGAAATTATATGATTGAACTTGCCTCCTCCTGCAACCAACACATGGAATTGATTCACCTAGGATACTGACTATATCTTTAATTGTAATTACAAATGCAGTTTTTAGTTCCCATTGAGACAAAAAATTATATTTTTTTAAAAATTCTTCAATGTCTTTATTTTTAAGTGGCACATTTTCTTGAACAAGATCCAATTCATTTAAATCCATTACTATCTGAAAAAAAAAACAAATTAATAATTTTTTTTAAAAATTGTAATTAAAAATTTCAAAATTGTTAAGATTT